TCCCTTTTGTCGTCGTCGTCGTCCTCCTCCTCTTCCTTGTCCTCCTCCTCCTCCTTCCTCCTCCTCCTCCTCATCGCCTTCCTCCTCTTCCTCCTCCTCCTCCTCCTTCTCCTCCACCTCCTCCATCTCCTCGTTCTCCTGCCCCCCCCTGCTTCTCCGCCTGCCCCTTCCTCCTGCCGCTTCTCCTGCTCCCGCCCCGCCTCCTGGACTCCTGGACTCCTGGACTCCTGGACTCCTGGACTCCTGGACTCCTGGACTCCTCCTCCTCCTCCTCCTCCTCCTCCTCCTCCCCCTGCTCCCCCTCCTCCTCCTCCTCCTCCTCCTCCTCCTCCTCCTCCTCCTCCTCCCCCTCCTCCTCCTCCTCCTCCTCCTCCTCCTCCTCCTCTTCCCCCCTCCGACCTCTCCCTGGCTCGCCGCCTTCGCCCTCCGCAGCCGCCCCTGGCGCCGGAGGCCGCGCCCCCCCTCTCCCCCTGCGGCAGAGGGGCCGCGCCAGATGTCCTCGGTGCTGAGCGCCGCGTCGGGCTGCGACGGCTTCGTATGCTGCGTCGGCTGCCTGTCGCTGGTGCCCGGGCTCGTGCGGCGCGTGGTGAACCAGGTGGCGTTCTTTCCGCCGCGTCCGCCCGGCTACCACGTGACTGAGGAGAAGCAGGCGCCCCTCCCTCGCGGGGCCGGGGTGGGGGGGAGGGGGGAGGGAAAGGGCGGGAGGGGCAAGGAGGAGGAGGAAGACGAGGAGGAGGAGGATGAGGACATAGGGAGATGATGATGATGATGATGATGATGATGATGATGATGATGATGATGATGATGATGATGATGATGATGATGATGATGATGATGATGATGATGATGCTGAGGATAAGGATGAGGATGATGATGATGATGATGATGATGATGATGCTGAGGATGAGGATGAGGATGAGGACGAGGAGGATGAGGATGCGGATGATGATGACGATGATTCGCACTTCTTATCCTTCTCTATCCCTCGTTCCTGACCCATCGTATCATTATTATCCTTCTCCCTCTCTTCCTCCTCCTCCTTCTCCTACTCCTCCTCCTGCGCTTCCTGAAAGAGTCAGCACATCTCCTTCTCAGCGTCTCCTTAACGTCTCCCTCTTCCTCCGCAACGGTCTCCTCCGTCCTCCTCATCCTCATACCTCTCATCCTTCTCTATCCCCCGTTCCTGACTCATCGTATTATTATTCTCCTTCTCCCCCTCTTCCTCCTCCTCCTCCTCCTCTTCCTCCTCCTCCTCCTCCTCCTCCTCCTCCTCCTCCTCCTCCCCCTCCTCCTCCTCCTCCTCCTCCTCCTCCTCCTCCTCCTCCTCCTCCTCCTCCTCCTCCTCCTCTTCCTACTTCCATTCTGAATATCGTGTTCCTCTCGCACCGCAAACGTGTCGGTAGGGCGGACCCGGCTTGTCGCCTGAAGCGTGCTCACGACTGATGGTCCTGAAGCTTGAACGTTGCAACCGTTTCACGTATTCAGGGCAGGCTGTGTTCAATTCGTGCCTTTCGCCTTAGCGCCACGCACATTCGCATCAAACGTTTGCAACAGTTTCGCGGATGAAGGGAGGGCCGCTTTCAAAATGCGGCTCTCGCTTAGGCGTTTCGCACGTCCGGCTTGAAAGTTCACAACACATTAACGGATGGAGCGCGGGCCGTTTTCATCATGTGGTTCCCACCCTAGTGCCCTTCAAGGATTCAAACTGAGGCTCTAGCTTCAGCGTCTCGCTCATTTTTCAGAAACTTGCAGCAGCTTCAAGGATGGAGGGCGGGCCGTTTTCAAAATGTGGCCACCGCCTTGGCGACGCACGCATTCGTCTTTAAAGTTTGCAGCAGCTGCAAGGATGGAGGGTGGTTCCGTCTCAGACGTGGTTGTTCACCTTAGCGCCACCCACACTCGTCTTAAACTTGTTCACCCGGTCTACGGATTCGCACGGATGAAGTCCTGAATATTTTTTTTTATCGGGGACAGTTTAGATTGGCAGGGCGCACGAGTCAATTGAGTAGTGATTAACGGTGTTGAAGTCCATGGGATATTGTTTTGGTACGGTTTGGGATTGTCACGGCGCAACAATCACGTTGAGTCGCGGCATTGCAATTCCAGGAAGGGTGTTCTCGCGCGATCGAGGATGCTCACGCGGATGTCCTCTTTCCGCAATAAACATGATTATTGTAGAGATCTTTGAAAACGGAAGCTTGCGATTACACTGGTCTTGATGCGTCTTGGGTTTACACTGGTGTTCCTCCTCCTCCTTCCCCTCCTCCTCCTCCTCCTCCTCCTTCTCCTCCTCCTCCTCCTCCCCCTCTTCCCCCCTCCCCCTCCTCCTCCTCCTCCTCCTCCTCCTCCTCCTCCTCCTCCTCCTTCCTCTTCCTCCTCCTCTTCCTCCTCCTCCTCCTCCCCCTCCTCCTCCTCCTCCTCCTCCTCATTTCCCTCCCACATATCCTTCCCGCGCAGCCTCCCCCGTCCCTCTCCCCCTGGGCCCCTGCCCCTAACCGCCCTCCTCGTCCGCCCTCCTCGCCTCCTCCTCTCTCGTCCTCTCCCTCCCCTCCCCTTCCCCGCCCTCCTTCCCCCTCTCGTCCTCTCCCTCCCCCCTCCCCCCCGCTCCCTCCTCGTCTCTTCCCCCCCTCTCTTCCTCTCCCTCCCCTCCCCTCCCCCCCTCTCCCTTCCTGCCCGCCGCCTCGAGAGAAGAGAAGGTGTTCCTCGTGGAGGCGGACTACGGGCTGTCGCCGCTCCCCGACCTGACCAGCGAGGGGATCGCCGTCGACACGGTCCGCATGTGGACGCGCCGGGGCAGCGTCATCCTCGGTTTCCACTTCAGGTGCGCGCGCAACCTCTCCTCCTCCTCCTCCTCCTCCTCCTCCTCCTCCTCCTCGTCCTCGTGCCCTTCTTCCTCCTTCTCCTCCTCCTCCCGTGCATCTTTCCGATGAGGAAGGGATGCCGCTACCAGTGTTCGTCCCGCGTCGCCCCGGCCGAATTCGCCTCGAGGTCCTTGTCAGACCGCGCCCCGGGAGAGGTCCAGGGAGCAGCGATGCCCCCCCAATGTCATCATTCCCTCTCTTCACTCCCTGTGTATTCCTTCCTCCCCCCTACCGCGCTCTTCCCCTCTTTCTCGTCTTTCTCATCATCCTTCTTCCTTCAGGAGGGGAAAAAAACACACAGACACAATTAATCGGCGATTCCCAGAATATGTGGGAAAATATTGGAAGTGGGGGGGAAGACAAAAACCTAGAAAATATAAGAAAATATGGGGAATCTTTTTGCTTGTGTGCATTTATTAGTGTGTCTCAGGGCCCCTTCATTCCTACCTCACTCCTCCTTCGTCCCTCATCCCTCCTCCCTCCTCGCCATACCCGATGTCTTCATCCTCCTGATCCTCTCTGTTCCTCCCTCCTGCTCCCCCTGGGACGGCCGGCGGATCTCCTGGTTCCACTTCTGGCGTCCTCCTGCTCCTCTTCCCATTTCGTTCCTCCTTCCCCCCAGCTCCTTCCAAGTTTCTTTTTCACCCCAGCTCCTTCCTCGTTCCTCCTCCTTTCTGCCTCCTGTCTCCCAGCTCCTTCCTCGTTCAGACTTGTCCCCTCCTGCCTTCATTGCCTCCATCTTCCCCCTTCCTCCTCCTCCTTCTCCTCCTCTTCCCCCTCCAACTCCAACTCTTCCTCCTCCTCCTCCTCCTTCTGATTATCATCCTCTCCCTCTGTCCTCCTCCTCCTCCTCCTCCTCCTCCTCCTCCTCCTCTCATGCTACTTGCTCCTCCTCGTCCTCCTCCTCGTCGTCGTCCTCCTCCTCCTCCTCCTCCTCCTCCCTAACCCCACTCTCTCGCCACTCTCCCCCTCTCCCGCACCCCTTCCCCATCGCTATCCTCCCCCCCTGCTCCAGAGCGGGTGCCGGACGACCCTCGGCTCTTCACCAAAGGCGCTCGGATTCGGACAGGACGCTGCTGTTCAGTCACGGCAACAGCACCGACATCGGCATCATGTTCCACCACCTCAAGGACATGTGCGTCAAGCTGCGGTGCGATGTCTTCGCGTACGAGTACAGCGGATACGGAGAGAGCTCTGGCTCGCCGAGCGAAGCTGACCTGTATTCTGACATAGAGGCGGCCTACCACTACCTGACCCACGACTGCGGCACTCCCGAGGAGCAGATCGTCTGCTACGGTCAGTCTATCGGGAGCGTGCCCTCCATAGATTTGGCCTCCAGGACGGGGGTCGGCGGAGTTGTGCTGCACAGTGCTCTCAAGAGCGGGCTCGGGGTGATACACGACATGAAGCAGACGTATTGGTTCGACGTGTTCCAGAACGCACAGCGAATCAAGCGCGTCCGCTCTCCCGTGTTCGTGATCCATGGGACGCACGACACGGAGGTTCCTTTTGAGCACGGCATGACGCTCTACGAGGCGTGCCCCAAGGAGCTCGCTTACGACCCCTGGTGGGTCAAAGAGGCTGGCCACAACGACATCGAGATCAACCACCGGGCAATGTACTTCGAGCAGCTCGCTCGCTTCTTGAGGTCGCTCGACGACCAGGACAGGAGGTGGAGGCTCGGGCCGGACGGAAAGGGGGGATTTGGAAAATCAGCTACGTGAGCTGATTCTCACCCCCTCCTTTGCCATCCCCCCTCCTTCGCCAGACCCGGGAGGCGCACGGACGCCAGCGACGACGCCGACCACGACCAGGGCTCCGACGGCGGCTCGCAGCCCCTCCTGAGCGGCGGAGCCAGAGGCGGCCCGGCCGGCAGACGCCACTGAAGCGTGGCGAATTCATCGGCTGGCACCCGTTGACCTGATCGGTGGCGAGCGAGGAGGAGGAGGAGGAGGAGGAGGAGCAGGAGGAGGAGGAGAAGGAGTTCTCCTTCTCAGAAGGCGACGGGGCTTCTCAGGAGCCGGCCAGCCTTCTGAGGAGTTTTCGGTGTCTTCGGGGAAGTCGAAGCACACTCCTCGGAAGGCCTGGGGACTTCCGAACCTTCTGAGGAGGCCTCCTCCTTCTCATTTCCTCTCCCTCGCTAGCCGCTGATTTGAGGCGGGCCCGCATTGCCAATGGACCGGGCACTGAGCTGCAACATGTGCATACGTGTGCCTTAGGTGTTGTTCTGGCAGAGCCGCCGTCTTTGGCGGCCTGCGTCTGCGACTCCCTCGATGTCTCTTCTCCTCGATGTGTCTTCTACTGATCCAATCGGGTCTCCCTCGATCGATGTCTCTTCTCCTCGATGTCTCTTCTCCTCGATGTCTCTTCTCCTTAATTACCCTTGATCGTCGTCGTCTTCCCTCGATGTCTCTTCTCCTGACCTCATCGGGTCGGAGGATCTCGCCGCATCGCTGATGCATCGGCGACCTGGCGCGACCCGGAGCCCGATCTTTTCATCCCCGACGTCGCAGATGTTTCGCCAAAACGTCGCCGATGCGGCGCGATCCTTCGACCCGGTTTGTCCCGGCCCCATTCCCAGACCCCCTCGGGTCATCGACAAATCGTGATGGGGGGGGGTTCTCAGTTTTGGGCCTCCTGGGACCCTTGCCAGGCCTCGGGGCCGTCAAAAAGCCACTTTGGATGAAAAACTGGCCTCTGGGAATGGGTCGAGACCTCTTGGGGTCGACGCTCTGAAGAAATCTCACAGCGTCAACATCGCAGAGCGGATCTCGTTCGGAGAAACGATAATTAGGGTGGGCCCAGAGCGTCCTGGATAATTTCGTTCCAGATTTCGAGGCGAATTCCGTGCTGATTTTTCTTTTAAGCCAGGAATGAAGACCGAAAACCATCCACGCGAAATTCGCTTCGTTTCTCGCTCGCCGCTTCGGGCAAACATCCACGCAGAAAACCACGCAGGAATCCGCTGCAGCACGTCTGCAAGGCTGGTGCAAGGAGAAATCAGGACGTCGGAGCTCTGGGTTCGGGGGGCCTCCCGAGGCTCTGCCCCGCTGGACTCCCCCCCCTCCCCTGTCTGCCCCCGAGGGCCGACGTCGAGAAGAGGCGGTCCACCATCGTGAGAGAAAGCACGACGTGCACGAGCCCAGCTGGCCACGCGCAGGGGGGGCGGGGGGAGGGGGGGAGGGCTCCTCAGAAGCACCCCCTGCTTCTCAGAGGGCGCGGGCCTGCCCTGTAGGTGTGAGGCCCGCGCCTTCCAAGAAGCAGCCTCCTTCTCAGAAGCCCGCCCCCCTCCCCCTGCCCCCTCGTGCGCACCGCCAGTGGATGCTCGCTCCTTCCTCTTCCGGGAGCCGTTGGGAGCGATTCTCCCCAACCCCGCCTCTGCCCCCATAGCCCACCTTCCCAGCGCCCCCCCGAAGTCCGACGCCGAGAATCATAATAATAATGATACTACTACTACTACTGCTACTACTACTACTACTACTACTACTACTACTACTCCTACTACTACTACTACTACTACTACTACTACTACTACTACTACTAATAATAACAATAATAATAATAATACTTATAATAATAACAATACTCATAATAATAATAATAATAATAATAATAATAATAATAATAATAATAATAATAATAATGGTAATACTAATACTGATAGTAGTACTAATACTAATGAACATATAAATAATAAGAAGAATAATAAGAATAAGACGAATAAACATCAGAAACGTAATTATAATCATTATAGTAATAATGATAGAAAGAATAAGAAGAGTAATAATAATATTAATAATAATCAGAAGAATAATCATAATAATAGTAATAATAATAAGAAGAAGCAGGATGAGAAGAAGAAGCAGAAGAAGAGCCCACCGTCCGTGAGAGGCAGCACGGCGCGAGCCCTGGGCCCCGTCTATAACTGCGCCGTGCCTCGAGCCGGGACCAGCAGCTGGGAGGGCCCCCGCGGGGGCCCGAGACCGGGCGCACGCACGCCCGGGGCGAGGAGCAGCCGCAGCGCCAGGACCTCGGGGTTTCCCCCCTCCTCCTCCTCCTCCTCCTCCTCCTCCTCCTCCTCCTCTTCCTCCTCCTCCTCCTATCTCCTCCTCCTCCTCCTCCTCCTCCCCTCCTCCTCCCTCCCATCCTCCTCCCTCCTCCTCCTCCTCCTCCTCCTCCTCCTCCTCCCCTCCTCCTCCTCCCTCCTCCTCCTCCCTCCTCCTCCTCCCTCCTCCTCCTCCTCCTCCTCCTCCTCCTCCTCCTCCTCCTTCCTCGGGGGCAGCGGCCGGGGCCGCCGGGCCGCGGGCTCCGGAGCGCCAGATCGGCGGCAGGGCCCCCCGGCGTTTCCCGGCCTCCCCCGGGGCCCCCCCCCCCTCGGGGGCCCACAACTGGGGAGGCAGAGGCAGGGGGGGATGCAGCGACCTCGAGTGGTGGAGACGTCGAAGAGGCATCTCTGATGTCAGGGCGACGTGTCGACGCAGAAGACACGCGGGGCGGCCTGCATCGACGATGCACGGGCGCTGTATCGGCCATTCGAGGTCGATGCCCCCCCCCTCCTCCTGGGCCCATCCCTCCCCGTCGTTGCCCCCGATCCCCCCCCCGCTCTGGGCCCAGACGCGCGCTGTCCGCGTGCTTTCTC